AATTTTTATTGTAGTCCTTTGTGATAAACGATATTTTTTGTTTGATTACCTGGCGTATAGACAAACAAATCTGATGGTTTTCCAATACGGGAGCAGACAACATACAATTTTCCATGTGAGAAACATGGGTTTTCCAAATTAATACTACAAACACTTAATGATACCATAAACGCACTGGATACTGTAGTCGTTTAATCTCAAATGACATATCAGTCGGAATCATTGGGATGCACGGCGCGAGAACATCTTCTGCTTTATACTATCCTTTCAATATAGTTGCTTCCATCGCGTTGTTTGGTAGTTTTTTTATCGCTAACCTTTTGCCGTTGCAAAGGCGCGGTTGGTCGATATTTTGCAACATTATAATTGCCGAACCAACCTTTAATTGAAGATTGTGAGGTGACAATCCTAGCAAATCCAGCGAGTTTAAAAACTCCGGTGGATCGTCTTGGTTAGTTGCCGAATCAACTGATTCGCCTGTAATTTGTTCTTGAATTTTGAAATTTAATTCATTTACATCAATGTTTTTGACTGCCAATATAGCTCGTTAATTAATACAAAGATATTTTTATGTTTATATAAATCTATTAAAAATTAGATTATCAAAAACTACACAAAATGTCATGACATAGATCATTGTTTTTTCTACAAATTTTGTTGCCTACTCGATTAAAAAAGAAAAGGGCTGTTTTTAGGGTTTTCCCGGCATTTATTCGATTTTTTCGTAAGAACCATCCTTGGACATCAACGAACATTTTAAAAAAAGAATTGGCCAAATTAGTCCAGGCGTTGTTGAGTTATGCGCTTACCAACACATTTTGCGATCCATTTTTATATATAAGATAAGGTAGTTGTATTTTTAACTTCCCGAAGAAGAAGTTTATGTTTTCATCAAAAAATCCGATTTGCTAATTTTATGTTTTCTCGACGTTTCAAGCCATTCTGAATCGAATGAAACCAAATTTGGAAAAAGTATGTGTGTGAACAGATTTTTTGCCGTAAATCGACGTTTTCTCAAAAACAGCTGGACCGATTTAAAAAATTTAAAAGTCATTCGATGTATCTTGATGAGGATTATTGTTTGTCACTTTTGTGCGACGATCGGCTAAGCCGTTTCCTTATAAATAGCAGAAAAGTGAAAAATTTTTCGTCCGCGTTTTAGCCCGCAATTCTAGATCGATTTTGAAAATTCAAAAACTGTTCGAAAGATATTGGTTGGGAATCGTGCTGATTAGTTTTTGGTAGAGATCAGCCGGGGGGCCGTTTTCTTGTAATAACGTGTTAAAATAAAATTTTCGACGATTTTTTTTATTATTTTTTTTACGGTGGATACCATAGTCTTGTAGATCATACTAAAATATTACGGCCCTACGACAAGTCGTTTAATTTTAAAAATTCATCAAAGTTTGCAAAAATTAGTATCATTTCTTTTGCATTTGTCAAAATTAGACCTTCGATTGACGTTTTTTCAAAAACGCCTGAACCGATTTCAGAAATTTAAAAGCCATTTGATGTATTTCGATGAGGACTATTGTTTGTCAGTTTTGTTCGACGATCTACCAAGCCGTTTCTTTGTAATTTGGAAAAAAGTGTTAAACCTTTCGTCCACATTTAAGCTCATACTACCGAACCGATTTTCAAAAATCAAAAACTGTTCGAAAGATATTAGTTGGGAATGATACTGATTAGTTTTAGGTGAAAATCTACCGAGCCGTTTTCTTGTAAATAACTGTTGAAAAAAAATTTAAGCCGATTTTTATGGAACTTTTTTTAGCGATATATATCATGGTCTTATAGAACTCACTGAAATATTACGGCTTTACGACAAGCAGTTCAATTTTAAAAATTCATGAAAGTTTGAGAAAATGAGTAGTTTTTTGACGTTTGCTAAAATCAAAATTGGACGATTTACTTGGTATAACTATAGAGTACTTGGTCTCAATGAACACACTTAATCATTAAAGTCCTACGGAAACTGGTTCAATTATAAAAATTACCGATTTTTGAAAATACTCCGAGTTAACGTGTTCGTCATGCGTAATAAATCCACTCGAAATACTTTTAATCACTCATAAGTTAATTTATTTTTTATTAATTAAATCGATTATACATTTCGGGAAGTTCACTTGCCTCAAGGCAAAATACCAATACCAACTAGTTAAATCAAGTAACTGTCTTTCTTGTAATAATTTATATAATAATATGCTTTCTGTTTAGGCTTTTTCGAGCTTTATAGAAGTGGGTAGATTAGACAAATCTCCTTTACGGGAATCATGAAAGAGTTCTCCTCTCATAGAGTCATGACTGGGAGAACATCCTGATGTGGGATCAGGCGATAATTCTGATAGAGGGTAAACAAAACAATCTAATACAAAACCACAACAGTGTGTAAATCCAGTGAAAAGGCCAAGTAATTTTAATTTTAAATACCATTTGCAAAGAAAAGAAGAAAATTTACAGCAAATGACATAATTCTTGCTATGAAGCTGTACAAAAAGTCTGCAAAGGCATCAAATGCATAAATTTTCATTCTGTTTATTGAAAACACTTGGTTTTATAGGTTTTTATATTTTATGAAAGTTTTAGTGTTAATGTTTTCATCATGATCATAATATGGGTAAATGTGATGTTTAAAAACACGCATACACAGAAACTATTGAAAGATTTCGTCAAATACAACTTTATTAATGATTGATTAGATAGCAAAATAACTATTAAATGGAGACATAATAAAAAAGAATGTCTCGTAAATGAATTTTATTCCTATAAATTTAGTTTTATCTCAATTTTGATGTGAATATATATATTTTTCGTTTTTAGGATTATTTGGTTTGGGAAGTATTCGTTCTTTTTTAAAAATTTGCTGTTCCTTTTATCCTTTTAAATTTTTGCATTACTTGTCATTCCCTCTAAATTTGTCATTCCATCGTCAATAAACCTGCGCTTTTCACTTCTTAGTTTTTAAGTTTTTAATATATTATTATTAGTTTTAAGTAATTAATATTAATAAGTTATTTCTCTTTGATTTGTAGCACTTTAAAAATATGTCTGTAATATACTTTAATTAATAGTAGTCAGTTATTTAATTATATAATTCTTCAAAAATATGTCTGTGTTATATTTGAAAATATATTTTGTATTTCGTATGTTTTGTTCTTTTTTCAAATATTAAATTTTTTTCAGATTTTTTGGCTGTATTGATTATATGTAAAAATGTAGAAGTAATACCAGGGGTTAATTTACATACTGTATGTACATGTGCTGCTATGTTGTGATCAATGCGTAAATTAAAATGGGTGTAACGTCAAATCGCCCAAGATAGCGATCTATTTATACTTATTTATCTATGCCCGTGTTCATTTATTTAATCTATTTTGACGTTTCTCGGCGGCACCTCTTACCATAGTACATCTTTTGACATTTTTTTTACCTGAGAAATGTATGGGGATTAGCCATAGACCCATAGACCTTATACAATTTCATGGACTGCTAGTCCCCATACATTTCTCAAGTAAAAAAGTGTCAAAAGATGTTCTATGGTATGAGGGCAAACGAGGGTAATTTTGCGGCCGAGATATGTCAAACTCAATCGCTTGAACGTCAAATGAAAGTCCGTGTGTTCGAAATTGTTGGGAAAATATTATATAATATACAATTTATGTTAAACTAATGAATGTAATGAACTATTTATATATTTATTTATTTATTTTAGTTATACAAAGTGTTTAAGGAAAATAAGAAAAAAAATTTAAAAAATATTTTACATATTATAAAATTCACTGAAAATAAGAACAGTTGGCTAGAGCTATTATGGGAAATTAGAAAGCAACAATGAAATATTTGTTTAAATGTAATATATTTATTATTGGTGTTTAAAAAGCACAATTTTTGTGTGAAAGTGGCGTACATATTTATCAACTTTGCTTTTTTTATGTTCTTCATGGTGCATTCTAATTGTTAAATACATTTTTGCGTCAAAGTTGATAAGGTCATGATAGTGCTGGACAAATTGCTGGAAATGGCTTGATCTAAAAAAATGTGCAAGTCCCAAATCATTCAACTTTCGGAGAATCGTGCTTTCATATGAACTTTTGTACATTAAATTTAAAGAATTTCGAATTAGGGTTTCTATATATAAATTTAATTTAAACATTTTATCGGAAGGATATGAAAGATATCCTCGATTTTTTATATCGATGAATGTCGAATTTCCCGGAATACTTGCGAAGCATTCAGAACAGGTTTTACTGCAATCAGGAACTTTACCACAGACCAAACACATTTTAGAAGACATTTTACTTTTAACAATTTTACAACAGGTATATTTTTATCCTCTTTTAGTTTAAAAACCCGAGCGATCAAACATCACGTGAACCCAAGTAACTGTAAAATTTAAGCGATCGAGTGCATTCGACTAATCTCGGTAAAGCTCGTGTTCGTATTTGACATATCTCGGCCGCAAAATTACCCTCGTATGCCCTCATACCATAGAACATCTTTTGACACTTTTTATGCGCTCAACTAGCAGTCCATGTATTGTATAAGGTCTATGCATAGACCTTATACAATTTCATTTGTATTGTATAAGGTCTATGCCCTGTCTATGCATAGACCTTACACAATACATGGACTGCTAGTTGAGCGTATAAAAAGTGTCAAAAGATGTTCATTACATTCATTAGTTCAACATAAATTGTATATTATATAATATTTTGCCAACAATTTCGAACACACGGACTTTCATTTGACGTTTAAGCGATCGAGTTTGACATATCTCGGCCGCGAAATTACCCTCGTATGCCCTCATACCATAGAACATCTTTTGACACTTTTTTACTTGAGAAATGTATGGGGACTAGCAGTCCATGAAATTGTATAAGGTCTATGGGTCTATGGGATTAGCAGTCCATGTAATATAAGGTCTATGCGTTTGACAGGTTTTATTTCGTATTTTGAGTTTTTTTTTCAAACTTATGTGCTTGTTAAAGATTAACCATCGTTCTTATAATCGCAGATTTTATTTATTTTTAATAATGCCTTTCTGTGTCACCAATTATGTGTAGAAGTGAAGAAAGTGCATGAATAAGAAAGTGAATTCACTAATTTGTTATGATTTCGAATAAAAATTAACGAAGAAATAAATTGCTTCGTTGGATGGATTCAGTGAGGTATGTAGTCATAATTATAATATTTATGTTATTGGCAAAGTAGGAAATTATTGTTCCGCCACCTGCAGGTATGTTTTGTTTTATTGATTGCAAATATAAGCTATAATTTTAGGAATATATTGTATCAGTATATGTAAGGAAGAAAAGTTTCTTAAAGTTTATACCAATACTGGAACTGTTTTATTTTGAACAGTATTCACTACTATTGATAGAGAGGGCCGCCTCCACAGATTGGTAACTATTTGTTTGAATTTAATATTATCTACCTGTTAAAAATTATATGCTCAAAATGCTTTTTCTTTCAGATTAATTTAGTTACATTCAAGAAGTATTTTTCATTGATTTCCAAAAGCTCTCAATCTATTTTATATACATATAAAATTAATATGCAGTTATTACTATACAAGTCTAGGGTCATGATACATATATATTTAATCTAATATAAACTATTTAATCTAATATAAACTAACATTTCTTTCATTTACTGTCCTCCCCTTATCCATAATGTGAGTTTGTAGGTTCACCAAAATAGGACTTACAAAAACAATATTCTCACCCAAAAATTGAAGGTTCTTTGGTATATTATGTCGAATTTTAAAAATGTTCATTCTCTGTATGACTCGTTCTACATGTATACCAACACTAGCTACAGAGTATGCTTCAATAATATCTCCTAGTGAAAGTAATCCATATTAATTTTAAACAATTGGCGGATGCACAAGCACTGCCATATTAATTTATCTAACTCAGTCCATATTGATAAAAATCCTGGATATGAGGAATAATTAAAAATTTTGCCTTTTTTACTCATGAATTCAGCTTTATCGGCTAATACAGCATTATATTTTTGTCAACCTACTCACTAGCAGTGCAGTTTATAATGTGACCACATCCTGCTCGAATCAACATGCTTTCAAATATTCTGCAAACTGTCTGCGAATGATCTGAAAAGTAACGCTTCAAACAAGTGCTTCTCGTCGAATTTAGAAATACAATAAGTGCACTTATGTGCTTAAATTACTTACCTAGGCCACAAAATGTGCAGAGAACATAATTATTAATAAATTAATCTGTTTTTACATTTGTTGATTTTAGTATGCGATCGCGCACTCTATTTGTTTACATTATAATAATATACATCCTGTCTCTTCATCTTGATACTTAAAATTTGTTTAAAATATATCTGTATGTTTCACATGTTCTGTGTCAAGCTCTGCAAGTGATGGTGTTTTTTATTTTTTTTTAAATTAAATGTAATTTATGAAATATTAAAAAATGTGTAGTATATAAGTAACTGTTTTGAAATTACACTGAAGATGAGGCATACCTATAATTACATTAAAAATAAACATTTGTGAATATTTCATATACCAATTTATTAATTTTAAATTTTTGATTAAAGTTTTTTGTTATAACTATATATAAAATTAACAATGAAACTTCTGAAACTGTAAATATTGTAAACAATGAAACTGTTTATTACATTATATTATTTTACATTTATTTCTAGACAATTATTCTATACAATATTGTTTTTAATATTTAACACTTCAATAATTTAATATCATAATGTCTTAATAATATGATGTCAATTATTCGAATGAACTATTGGTATTGACACAATATATTTTCTAGTAACATATGGCAAAAAAGGCACTATTTTTTTAATTTGCTGGGCGGATATTACAACTTCATTACTATTGTTGTCATTTAAATCATATAGATATATATGAAAAATCGTAGAATCACATGTACTCACAAACAATGGCTTGTAATTTTTAATTAATAAACAAACAATTTGATTGCTTGAATTATGAATATGCTTAACACTGAATTATAGAGAATTATCTAGTGCTCATACAAAGAATGTCCGGAGCGCTATTACAAATAATAAAATCTTTATATTTTATTTTTATCTGTCCATTTCTTTCATACTGCATATTTGGATATCTCTGTTCATTAGCAAACATTGCTTCAAGCATTCTGTTGACCAGCTGGTGGAGAGGTTTTGGCGAGTTCTGTAGCTTACCTTGTATCTTCTTGAAATAGTTTTCATAAGAAAAGCAGCTGAACTCATCTAAGCTACAATTGAAATTCATCACATCAGCAGGAAGATGTATCAAATTGTGAGTGTTGAAAGTCATCCGGCCAGCTCCATATAGCCTTGAATATTCATTTACAAAATTAGTGAGATACTTCTTTGCTGTATCGTTTTTCTCGAAGCATATCTCTGGATCTAACTAAGTTGTATGAAATGGATATACTTATCCTTTTCCCGTACAGGTCGTAAAACTAGGTCCAAAATATAGCAGAAACAACCTGAACTCGGTGGCCTTCCAATGGTTAACATCTTTAATAGGTCTTAGTATCCTCTAGAAAACTCAGGTGTTACACATTTTTTACAACTTACCAAAAATTCACTTACTCTTTCAGTGGCAAGATAACAAATATCTAATTTGACATCTCTCGAACCTTTCACCCACAGACTTAATCTTTTGGTGACACCTAAACACACGAGATGCATATAGTCCAATGCCATCTGATATACCATGCCAATTTTAAGCTGCTCTAAAATAGAGTCCCCTGTGTAATGCCCTAGATGCAATCTCAATCGAAATGATTCGTTCGTTCTCAAGTGTGAATGTGTGTTGTTTAAAACAACATGTGTTTCAAACTCACGTACCTCTTTGAGTACATTTGGTGCCCAGTCGTTTTGGTTATGAATGCACGTGCTGGAGTGTAACATATTACCTTTGATATATATATATATATTATATATATATATATATATATATACACACCCAAGTCTGTTTTACATGGAGATTGGTTCCAGAAGAATCCGTTGTTAAAAAAAAAACGTGTAAAAAAAGACATGATCTTATCTTATACAAAATGGGGTGATTTGTTCCTGATCTCCAAAACCTATAAAATTGGTGAAAAACAAGAATTTTAAGAACAAGAATTAAATTAGTGCTATTCACATTTGCTTTGACCAGTAAAAATTGTTTGTACGCGCTAAAGGGGAATTCACTTAAATCTTTAAGCTAGTGTTCGCAAACTATCGATACTATCGATGGTTTCAGACTTTTTCTTTCATAAATACTTTTTTGTGATATGAACATACTTCGCAAAATTTAATTTGACAAAAAAAATTTAGGTACATAAATTTCAAATCGTGCTAAATGGAATAAATTCGTGTAAAAAAATTAAAAATATTCAATTTTCAAACCGTGTATATATCAAAACCGTGTACAAAAGACCGTGTAAAAACAGACTTAGGTGTATATATATATATATTAACAAAGTCTAATAATCAGGCATAACATCAATAAAAACATGAATTTCTTCAAAAATTTATTTTTAATACATGCATTTTGGCTATAATCCTAGCCTTCATTCAGTGGAAAAATAGTTAATCTTAGTGTTAAATTGGAAGATTTAACTGATTTTTCCACTGAATGAAGGCTAGGATTATAGCCGAAACGTATGGATTTTAAACAATTTTTTGAAAGAAATTCATGTTTTTTATTGATGTTATGCCCGATTATTAGACTTTGTTTATACATATGTCAACATCAAATTCAGAATCATACAATATATAAATATATATATATATATATATATTATATATATATAAATAAGTCGGATTTTCCTTCCTGACGATATAACTCAAGAACGCACGAACCGATTTTCACAATTTCACACCCACACTCGTGTGACCACTTGAGAACTGTAAGGATGTGTGGTGTGTGTTTTTATATGTTCGGAAGTGAATACTTAAATTATTGATCTTAAATGGAAGTCGATATTAATTGTTTGTCAAAAAGTGTAAAAAATTTAAATATCACTTCCAAACATATAAAAACACACACACACATCTTACAGTTCTCAAGTGGTCACACGAGTGTGGTGACTCAGAATCAGTTTATTACAAACAGCCGATCTCATAACATCGAGAGAATAATATTGTTTGGTTTTCAAATAATAATTTTAAAAAAGACAGAACTATGTAATTTTGATTTACAAAATTTACCTATTCGGCTGAAAAATAACTCATAAATTAAATTTTTTGTTTAAAATCTTTTTTAGTGAAAAGGTGCTAACGTATATTCAAACATACAGGTAATTAATTCAATTTTGTCATTAACCTTTTCTTAAAATTTTCCATAACTTTCAAAAAAAATTTATCATTTTTAATATACTGTTATTTATAATCCACTCATTTATTTTTATGATTTTCATTTTGATCATATTACCATATTCCTGTACATTA